CTTTTCCAGTCCTGTGGCCACTGCTGAGTTTTCCAAATTTGCTGACATATTGAGTGCAGCACTTTCACAGCATCATCTTTTAGGATTTGAAATAGCTCAACTGGAATTTCATCACCTCCACTAACTTTGTTCATGGTGATGCTTCCTAAGGCCCACTTGACTTCACATTCCAGGATGTCTGGCTCCAGGTGAGTGATCACACCATTGTGATTATCTGGGTCGTGAAGATCTTTTTTGTACAGTTCTTCTGTGTATTCTTGCCACCTATTCTTTATATCTTCTGCTTCTGTTAGGTCTGTACCATTTCTGTCCTTTATTGAGCCCATTTTTGCGTGAAATATTCCCTTGGTATCTCTAATTTTCTTGAAGCGATCTCTAGTCTTTCCCATTCTGTTGTTTTCCTCTATTTCTTTGCATTGGTCACTGAGGAAGGCTTTCTAATCTCTCCTGGCTTTTCTTTGGAACTCTGCATTCAAATGGGAGTAGTTTTCCTTTTCTCCTTTGCTTTTCGCTTCTCTTCGTTTCACAGCTATTTCTGCACTTAATAGTTTCCGAAGTGATTGTGGTAAAGAAAGAGTTAAACGAAAGCCCATCAGAATTGCCAGTGCTCTACACACTGTGGGAACCTCGGTGCTGGGGGCGGGGCAGTGGACAAGTCATCCTGGAACCACACACGGGTGTGGTTCTCTGGACCCTCCGGCTGCCCACTTCCTGGCCTGTGCCCTGGGCGTGGATGTTAGCCACACACAGAGGGTGAGGACCCCATGCTCTCCTGCAGAGAGTTGGGGGGGCTTCTTGCCCAGTCACTGGGCCAGGTGGGTGGAGCCGGTCTCCCTCCCTTGGGGGCTTATGAGGGGGCTGTCAGATTGGCTCAATGAGCCCAAGAATCTCTGCCTAGTACCTGTGGGTGTCCCAGGTCTCAGGGCTGGTAGACAGGGACATTCTCTGCCCCATGGGAGGCCTCTGGGCCTCCGCCACCTCTGGACCCTGCAAATACCCTTTCTGCCTTGAGACTGATGGTGCGTTTCCTGGATCAGAGCACCAGTTTTCACTAAAGTGTGAGTGGTTGCTCAGTGCTGCCATAACCCACCAGGCCTGCAGTCTCCGGAAGCCTTCACCTGAGGGCGAGGAGGAGGGCAGCTCCAGGCGATAGAGTCCTGGTGCTAGTCACCTGAGTCTCTGGACTCTGCCAGCCCTGGACAGCCTACCAGGAAGCCCACAGCCCTGGGGGGCCTGCTGCCCTTCACATGCCCCTCACATGCCATGTTTTCCGATCTTGGTTTCTGGCCCCACCTGGTGAGACTCCCAGCTGACGCTGCCATGCGGCCCCCTCACCCTGGCCTCAAGGCAGGCCTGCCTGAGCCACGCCCCTCCTCCGAGCGCTCAGGCACCTGGTCCCCGTCCAGAGCCAGTGGTTCCTACTCAGCTGGCCCCAAGGCGGTGGTGGGAGAGGGAGGCCCCTGGCCCTGCTCTGGGTGGGCGGATGGCCGCTCAGTCCTGCTCCTGTGGCTCTGCTGAGAGTTCACAGTTTTCAAAGCCCAAGCTAAGAGCAGGTGGAGAGACAGAAGACCGCAGCCCACAGGCAGGGCTGGGCAGGGACCCCCGTCGCTCAGCACAGACAGCTGGCTGCAGCGGCCCGGGAGGTGGGGCAGGTGCGTCCTTGCCTGGCTCCCCCCAACCCTGTCTTCTGCTGTGGGGGGCTCCACCTCCCTTCACCAATCTAGGGAGGATTTAGCTTAATTAAAGTGGTTGATTTGCATTCAATTGATGTAAGATATAGTCTTGCAGTCCTTATCTGGAATTAAGTAAATCATCCTTGCTTAGGGCTGTGAAGGCTCTGGGTCTATCTAACCTGTTGGTCTATCAGCCCTGTCCCAAGGGCTCCCTGGATAGGCAAACTGAGGCCCTGAGAGGGTTGGGGCTGCCCAAGGCCCCAAAGGCAGGAGCTAGGCCCCTGGCCACTGCCCCACCCATGTCCCACTCACGGCCCAAGTTCTCAGGTCCAGACTCTCCTGACCTTTGGCCCAGGGTCACCGCTCTGAGCGACCCCTGGCCAGCGCCCCATTGTTAGCCTGTCATGGTTCTGTCCGGAGGTGTCGGTGACTCTGAGACCTTTTTGGCTCCCCGGCTGCGGTCAGGGCCTGGGGCAGGGAGTTGCTGCCCATGGCCAGCTGCACAGGCTCAGCAGGTAGGACCTGTGTCAGCCAGTCGGAGGCACTGGGGTCCCCAGGGCGCTGATGTGGACAGTCCTGGGGCTCTGCCCTGCGGCCCAGACACCCGTGGGGCCCTCGGTACCCAGGGCCCCCCCTGCAGCCTGGCAGACCCTTACTCTGAGAGCTTCCCCGATTGTGTTCAGGGACTCAGGGTGAGAGCTGATTCACTGGTCTAACGAGGCGTCCTCATTCATAATTCATTCCTGCTAAGGACCTTCCTGCCTCTGAGGCACTGAGTCTGTCAGTGGGCTGGTGGCTGGTGGGAGGCAGCTGGGGGCCTGGGGTCCCGGGGCGGGGTGGGGCGCTTCTGCCCTGAGGGGCTGGTGTGGAGCCCCGTGCGGGGTCTCCAGCTCCTGGTCTTGACAGGAGATGCTCCGGAGGGTGGGTGGGACCCAGCAGGGGACCCAGGTGAGGGGTCTGTGTGCTGCGGTCAGCAGCTGTGGGGTGTGGTCTGTGGCCAGGCTGGCCCAGGCCCTGCGGATGGTGGCAAACACAGAAGAAGAGGTTTGTGGAGACAGAGACTTGTAGCTCATCTTCAGGGTGATCCCACAAGGTGATTCGGAGAAGTAATGGCATCCCTTCCTGCAGGGTGGACCTGGGCCATGGAGAGGGGACGGACTTGCGCTGGGAGGGAGGCCCCAGCACTGGCCACAGCCCACCTCCAGGCTCTTTCCCAGGCTCATTCTGCAGACCAGGGCAGAGGACACGGCGGGCCCCGGGGAGACCAGGGCCCACGACGCCCCCCTCCCGGGCAGGCTCCCGCTGTTCCCTCTGCAGCCATGGACAGGCATTCTCTGTCGGGCATAGCCACAAAACTTCTAAGACTTAATTAAAATCAATCTCCGATTACTCAAATGCCATCGACTTGGGGCTCGACTGATGGGGAAAATACGGTCATCATTATGGGAAACGTCGATACGAGGGCATCCACCAACCCTCTCCACGCAGAGCCGACTGGGCCCTCCCACTCTCCAGCCCAGGTCCACCCGTTGCCGGCTCGGAAGCCCTGTCCTGCCTTCCCGGGACAGGCGGCCCTGCTGCTCCCTGGCTGGCATCCCCGTGGTGCTCACGGAAGCGGGGCCGGTGGGCAGGCTTGACAGTTTTTGAGACGGGTGCCTTCTGGGGTGGCTCCCCAGAAGTGGCGGTGGCCGTGGGGACCCTTGGCTGCA